CGGCGTAGTTCGAGCGCTCATAGAGAGTCCCCTCGACGCGCTCCTTGTCGACGTCGGGGATAGTAGAGTGGAGATACTAGGCCACCTGGGGCTCAGGGTGGTTCCAGAGTCGAGACGGCATCATGATCGTCACGTCTTGGACAGTGATTGGGGCCTCTGCGGACTTCTCGACCGCCTTCCCTTTCTCGACCTTGCGGCGCTTCAGGTCGTCTGGGATCAGGACGACGGCCCGGTCGTCTTGAACCCGCTTGCGGGAGCTAGAGCCCGACGGTTTGTTCTGGGCGGCGCCAGGGTTCTCGACCCTGGACTTCTTCGCAGCAGTCGACTCGACTGCCGCACCAACTGGACGCGAGGGGCGAGTGGGAGGAACAGAACCACCAGCCGGCTGGCCAGACGACTGGCCCTTCTTGAGCTCGAAGCGTTTGAGCGCTTTAACTGAAAAAAATAGAAGAGAAGTTAGCGTGTGAAGAACACTTGACAATCGTCATGCGAAGGATCAAAACTTATAAACAGTTGCACAAGAAGGAACAATAATAGCTTACGAGGGTCATCGAGACGAGGAAGGTCCTCGTAAAGGACGATTCGGGCATGATTGACCAATTCACGGTCCTTTATTAATTGACGAGCACTATACGTATGCTTATTGAGCTCCGCCAGTAGGGTAGCGAACTCGTCGGATTGGGGCCGTTTATTTTGTTTAACTTTCGAGGTGATCTATTTATTCACGTAAGGATACATGCCGGGAGCAGGTCGAATGAATACGTACTTCGACTTCCACTCAGTCACGTTCGACGAAAGGTCGTCGAGGAAAGTGACGCCGGCGCGACGACCCAGACAATGGGCGCCTTTGGAAAGACGATAACCGTAGCAATAGAAGAAAAACTCGGGAGAAAAGAATTTGAGTATTATTCGGGAAACGACTATGAAGGCTATCATGATGCGAATAGCATTTGGGGAAAATTGATTGATGGGGATATTGTACAAGTTACTGATTAATATTAGCTCGTCTTGGATAGGAAAGCGAAGGCCGAAGACGACTTGGTCTATGAAAAATGTATGACAGCCGGGGGGAGGATGAGCAAAATCGTCGTTAGGGCCAGGGGCGACTAACTCCCAATCCGAGGGAAGCCCGCTGAACTTTCTGAAGCCCTCGACTTCGGCTGAAGAGGCATAACAAAAGGGATTTAGAACAGCTAACCTAGCCAAGGACAAGCTATAGATACAGTATTTTGAGAATTGAGAAGAGGAACAACTATTGGTACAGATACAGGGCTTGTTCTATAAACAGGGATATCTAAGAACCTAAGAGGAATACCTCGAGGAATGATATCGAGACAAGGAAGATTTCCTCGAGGAGGGCTTTTCACGATGTCGACTAAGCCGCCCTCCAAGAGCGCTTGGTCGTGCTGCTCCCAGTCGGCAGAAGAAGCAGTGGCGAGAGGAGGAGAAGAATGGGAGGGCAGTGAAACCATCCTATAGTCGGTTACCTCGACACAGTCAGAGCTAGAACCCTCGTCGGCTTGACAAGTATAATCGTTGATCTGCTGACCGAGGGAGCCAGAGAGAGGAGACGAGTCGGAAGCTAAGGAAAGAAAAAGGAGGAGAAGGTCGAAGTTAGTAAAATCACGAGTAAGGGCCTACAAGATCGAATTAGGGCAACTCGCAATAATCGACAGGGGAAGAAAGGACAAAGAAGGGGCAATCGCTATCGGTATCTCGACTTAAATAAACTAGTCAGTCGACCTTAGTCGACTCGAGAAGAGAAAAATTGAAGAAAGAAGGCCATTAAGTCGACAAGAGCCGACTCAGCGACAGGCAAAAATCGACTGCACATCAACGGCCAGCGACTAGCAAAAACAACAAATCCTAGCAGAATATGCGCGTGGAAAGATTGAATGCAAAATCCGTAAGAAATCCGTGAAGAACATGAAGAACACGCATGAACTTTAGATTCGAAAAAGCCAGAAAAACCAAAAAAAAAGGAAAAATCGACAGAAAATAGAGAGGGAAGAGAAAATAGCGAACTTACACATGGTGGTTTAGTAGATCGAAACCTTGAACGAACTTGAAGTTGCCGGAAGTGGAGAACGCCGGGGAAGCCGAAGTGCGAAAATTGCCGGAGATGCTTGAAGAGGTCTGAGAGAGCAGGAAGTTCGAGAATGCGAAAAGTGACCTCTTGAAAGGAGGAAACGTATTTATAAGCGGAGAGAACTGATGCTGATCATTGGATCAGTGAGAAAACCAACGGCCCTGATGAAGCACGGAATGCGAGGAGTTGGCGATGGAGATGACGCGCGTCATTTTGGGGTTTCGAAATTCAAAATTTGAAAGGGATCTGTCAGAGTGTCAGAATTATCCGAAAAAGCAATCATGAGATTGGAATGCGCCCTAATTAATTGACGAGACGAGTTATCAAAGAAGGTAAAGACGAGCGAGTATCGTAGGAAGACAGCATAACCATACTCCACCAAATTTACTCTTAAGCAGTCGACTGCTTAGAGTAATTTTTGGGGGGGACTAGATGATATAGCCACATAAGGATAACCCGGTCCAGAAGCTCCTTACTCAACCAGCAAACCACTCGAATTACTCACATGCCGACATGACTCCGTCGACATGCCCAAATCGACCTCCCTAAGGTCGATTTTACTAAGAGCAATCAAGAAGAAGCCGAGATTGATCTAGTCGACTCTCGCAAGTCGACCTTAATCTATCGACTTTCACTAATCGACATCAATGAAAGAGGAACGGCAAGAGTACAGCTCCCGGTCATCTAAATATTCTAAGTCGACTCCCAGAAGTCGACTTAATTAAGACGACTCTCTGAAGACGACTTCGCCTCAAAGAATTAGTCAAGCGTGGCCTCCGAATCCGCATATATGCGCGAGTCGACTTCCTAGATCTCGAAGTCGACCTCACATACCTTAAATAACAAAGATGTGATGACGATTCACCACACTTGCAACATATCCGAAGCCCTCCACATTAGGAAGGATAGGAAGGAATCTTGTGATGACTCAGCAATAAGGGGAGACGAATCGACCAGGGCATTTTGGACATTTTAGGTCCACCGACTTGGACATTTTGGGCACTTCACGTAAGTATTCACTCCTATATAAAGGAGATGAGGTAACCCTAAACCCTAACTCTCATTCATTCCCACTCTCCCCTATAGCTGCTGCGCAGCCTCTCTTCATCACTCTCATACTGACTTGAGCGTCGGAGGCTCTACGCCGGAAACACCTCCGGCGTTGAGTTTTTGCAGGAATCTCGCAGTCTAGTGACGGTTGGGAAGCGGTTCAAGCAGATCTGAGCTCACAACAACCGGTTTACTCCAGATCTAGAAGTAGACCCATCACCCACTCTTTGAGAATCAGATATTGATTCTCAAATATCCAGTTAGACCCTTTGGCTACTCTTCTCATATCTTCTTTGTCTTGAAATAGGAATTGAAAAAAATTGTGACCTAATTCTTTGATTTCCATAGGCTTTTGGAGATGCCAGATATTACTCATCGTCCTTTTCACTCCTATCCAACTTGCTTTACGATCTCCTATCACCTTCCCAAAGAGGCTACGTTGGCATTCCTCAGCGCTTAGCCGGATATCTTCTTTACCGATGTCGGTAACTTTTGTTTCCTTCGACGATAGAGAGCATCCTTTCAATCGGTTTGCTAACTCTTCATCACGCCCCACATTGTTCCGATCCTCCATTGCTGATAGACGGGGATTATCTACGAAAAACACTGAAAATCACTGAAAGACTAGGTCGATCTCACCGGAGATAATCGGAAGCTCCCATGAGAGAGAATCGTCATTGTACATCATACGAGTTGTGCACTAATTTTAAATAGACATATTTTATATAATTTTGCACAATTTAAATTTCATATAATATTTAAAATAAATTAATATAGGGGGAGTATTACATATTGGTTTCATATTTTTTAATTTATAAATATTATTTAGTGAAAATTTTTAATTTATAAATATTAATGAATATCTATTACCCGTGCATCACACTAGCTTCATAATAGTTTGTTTTAATGAGTTATAAAACTGATACATATACTGGAATAAAACAATACCAGTGTTGTAGTAACTCCGTACTTATATATTGTCATATAATACCGACTTATATGAACGAAAATGAATATATACTGTAAATATTTGTTTACAAAAATGATACCTATAATGTAGTAGGAAAATACCAATGTTGTTGTAATTTAGTACCTATATATTGTGTGGAAGGAAAGAGAAAGAAAAATAATAAAAAAATTAATAAAAAAAGTTGTAGAAGAGATGAATAGTAGAAGATGAGAAAAAAATAATAGAAAACGTGTAGAAAGAAAGAGAAAGAAAAATAATAAAAAAAATAAGAAAGCTAGTAGTGGAGAGAGAGAAGAATAATAAAATAATAAAATGGAATGAATGGTAGTGGGGATGATGTCATTTTCAATTTATTTTTGATTTATTTAAATAATGGGGAGTTAAAAGGAAGATGATTTTAATGGTAGGGAGTTCAAAGAAATAAAAAAACATCCTAGGAATTGAGGAGGAACTTGAAAAGTGCTTTAAGAATTTTAGAAGAAGTTGCCCATAAAAAAATCATTTCATAGTTGATAGTTCTATCTGTAGCCCGGATGAATAATACATTACGTATTCAATTGCAATCAATGAATTAATACGGTAACAGGTTGTATTTAGACACAACTAATTCTAAATTGTCCTCAATATTGATTTTAAATTCTTAATTAAGAAATTATTCAATAGTACATTCAAAGTGAATCACCAAAATATAAATCAATGCTGAAATGGAGTTTTACACGGAAATATACATATATATATTGAAAATGGGTCTCATGCGAGCACTCATTTCGCACCTGTTTATGTATATTATATTTTTGTGGGAATGTTATTGTCGCATTTGCTAAAATTGTTAAAGACTTCAAAAGTGGTAATATGGCGTATTTAAAGGTGATTGTGTTACATTTGATCGTAAATTGAAGAACCTCAACTGCCGATTGCTGTACTAATGCTCCAAGGGATATCCTAAAACAGAAAAAATGGAGCTGCCATGAAATTTCTCAAACAATTTTGTTCTCTAAAGGTAATTACACTAACAGCCCCAAGACTAGAGATGAGCTAAGGACGATTAACAGCCTAAAGCTGCCCTTCACATTTAACTTGAGGGATTTTCAAACTAGGGTAAAATGCTAATCAAGTTTAACAAACTAATAATATGAATTTTCAAAATTAAGCAAGGGAAAACAATGAAAAAAGAAGACTCCTTCACTGGTGCATGTCTCTCAATTGATCCATACGGAAATCATCAACAAAAAGGAAATGTAGTTCTGCAAATGCAAATATTAATAAAATAAAATGAACATGGTCTAGAATTGAACATAAAGTTCAAGTCATGAGTACCTTTAGATTATTAAGTCAGACGGGCATTGTCTGCAGCCTAATGTGTTTGTACTTCTGATCCCTGTTAAAGTATCTAGAAGCTTCTGTCAAGCCTTTTGACAAAAGCTGTTCAAGAGCATCAACACCTTCTACCAATGCACCATCAATCTGCCATGCCAAACAAAGTGCATCAACATATTATTCAGTATGCCTTTTATATTAGCTATGCAGCCAAAAATTCGCTTTTCTTTTCTTCCACCTTTTTTTTTCTTCCAAAACCATGTTTCATTAGTTAAGAGAATCAAAAGGCACAAAAAGAAAACAAAAAGTGAGAAGAAAAAATGGCAAAATTGCATTTTTAGTCCTGTTGGTTTAACGCCGTAGCATTTTTAGTCCCAAGATTTCAACTTTTTGTCTTTTGATCCTGTAATTTAGTATTTTGCTGCAATTTCAGACCTTTGGACTGAAATTGCAAAAAAAATTAAAATTACAGGACTTAAATTGCTAATCAATAATCCATCCAAAGATTTTTTATTAGCAAAGTCCTGTAATTTTAAATTTTGTGGCATTTTCAGTCCTTTGGGACTGAAATTGCATTGAATTTTAAAATCATAGAACCAAATAGCAAAAATGTCAAATTCTTAGGATTAAAAATGCCACTAGATCAAACCACGAAGACTAAAATTGCAATTTTGCCAGAAAAAAAGGACTTGGCATTTTATTTCAAGAAACTTTAAGCAGGGGTATACCCGCTCTCGAGCACTGGCATTGAACTTTTGGAGTAAAAATGCTTTCGGATCCATTTGACCAGCCGGCCTCCCTATACCTAATACACGATTTTCATTAGGTCTCATCATTTATAGGAAACTGATGGTCATCAGGCAGCAAAGTATATTAAACTTGATGATTCAATCTTACCAATTCTTAGCCTAGGAAATTCTCTATTCCCCCGAAAATGATGGATCACACTTTTAAGCCTGCCAAAAATTATTAAAGCACAATTTCTATGGGTTATAAACTAGAACCAACAAAAGAACTAGTGAATTTACGACTCTTCCAGCAAAAGTAGCATATACATTAAATAATTCTCCACAACAATTCTACCAGAGAATGAAAACTTCATGCATAATTGCTATGACAAATAATTTGCTACACAATATGGAGTACCAAGATAATAATAGCCGGATTTGAGTGATGACAGTTGATTGATAAATTATCCGTAGACACCACTTACAGAAATCATATTCCCATGCCTTCTCGTGTAACAAATATATGAGCTACAATTATTCATACATATGTTCCAGATTATTCAGACCCTAAATACTCTTGTACTCTTATCCTAAATATTAAATGTATAGTGTACAAAATTTTTAGCTCCACAGACCCACACAGATAGTTTTCAGTTCTATCAACGCTCATTCAATTTCAATGTTCCGAATAAAGAATTGTGTTACAACTTAAACAAGTATTTGGGTTTATTAGGCTTAAACATCTTAAAATATGATCATAAGTACCCTTCCCTGATATTTTTGCAAAATGCTTACTAACATTTCAGAAGACATCAACTATATCTCACACACAAAGTACAATGGGCTCAACAGTACATATCAATCAAAAGCGAACTTCAGCAGTTAGGCAGCATAAAAGATGGAGGAACAAGCATAAACTTTCCAGTCCCTACACTAAAAGAATTTCAAGTAATGTGGGTTAGTCAAACAACGAGAGACTGCATACAAAAACGCCACAAAATTGGATAAATTCCCATTCATAATACATGTGCCATATAATAATTAAAAGCCAACTTTGTTGGGCGCATGATATATACATTAATTCAATTTTGATAATCGTTACAAACTCCAGGCATAAATTTCTGGTGTTCTTACCCGTTGTGACTTCCGTGATTTCCCAAAGGATTAAGACGAAGAACTCCACAAGGTAAATCCATGTCATCATGAACCTACAATAACAAAACATCATCAAGCATTACAGACTCAGAATAACAAATCTCTTGGATAATGAACAACAGCCAATTAGAAAATATGAAGAACCAATTAGTCCATGAGACAATACCACTAGCACTCTATTAAGAGGAAGCTTATAATAAGCCGCAAGGGGACCAATCTGCAAGATATAAAAAAAATAATAATAATAAAAAATAAAAAATAAAAAAAAAGAGCTTCAATCACAAATACACAACAGATATGGATATATCACTCAGAAATTTTAAATAATACTTACAGATTGACCACTCAAATTCATGTAAGTCTGAGGCTTTGCCAAGAAAACTGGAACACCATTGACCAGACCTGAAGGAGATACAAACAAACATGGCTCAATATAGGAATCAACTGATGAAGTTCTCAGCGCAAGTCATGTGAGCACATTGCAAATATAAGCAACATGCCTTTTCCAAATATAGCTTTGCAGTGGACAGATTCCATTGAAATCCCTTGTGACCTTGCAAATGCATCTATCAACTCAAATCCCACATTATGTCTGGTACCCACAAATTTATCCCCTGGATTGCCCAAACCCACCAAAAGCCATGGCCGTGGAGAAGACAATGTAGCGGCTGCACAAAAACAGCGCTTGGGGAATATACTTCGAAGCATTTCCACTGTTCAGTTCTACAATGAATTTGAGGAACTAATCAGGATGAGAAGAGAAAGGATGGTTTCGGATTTGAAGCCAGCAGCCAATGCAGTTTTCCTGGTTTTCCTTGTACTTTTAACCAAATTCTTGGTTCAAGTGTCATTTAAAAGGCCTATATTGATGCTAAACAAGTTAAATGACGCTTTTCTCTCAGCAATAAGCATGCCTAGAAAAATAGAAGCCCACCATAAGCAACTCTAAATTTGGTCAAGTAGTACATACAAAATAAAGAAAATAGGTAAAACACATCAAAGAATCTACCCAAATCCCTATAGTAATATTCTTCAAAAAGTATACAGTTGTAAGCACGCCTTTCTTATTCTTAGGAAAAACACTTATTTCCAGAAAAAATTTGAACTTTTTCGAAAACATTTAAACTTAGAAAACATTTCTTTGGGTACTTACTAAAAACTTTTATTCTCTCTTTCTTTCTTTCTTCCTTTCTTTCTTTTCTTTCTTAACCTAAGTCTCGCACTTAGGTTCTTAGGATTCACATCCCGAAAACTTTCTTTCTTTTCAATTATGACAAAGCAGAGCATATGAATACTAAGTCTATAATTGAAAACATTCAAATTTCAAACATCGATCTTGGTTTCAAACAAACAATCATAAATAAGTTCGAAACATTCGCGAAAGCAAAATAAATAAACATTATTTCTTTTGACCACCACTGTACCTCGTGTCTGACTCCAACCGGTTTGCCCACCTGGAGTCTATAATATACACTTATTATTAGATAATATGATAACGACATGAAACATAAATCAACATAACATTTCGCCGTCTCATAACATTTCGGCAAAATATACCATGTAACCTACAGATACCATAATGATTACAATAATTATAAAGAATAAAACATAGTATAAACTTCCCCACCTTTTGACTTACTGTCCTTCGAAGAAACTAATGCTCGTGCGTCTGTGTGAGGGCTCGACTCCTCTTAACAGGCAAAGAGCACGGCAATTAAAGCAATAAGGCAAGCAAATTTATCATATAAAAGAAAATAATGTAGTCAAAGATAAGTTCACATAAAATTCTAACTTCTCTTCTTGACTTCTTTTTGCTCGACTCGGTTTCCCGAATCAAATTCTAAGGCTCGGAATACTTATTTTTCTCTTGCCTGAACCGGCCGGTCAACCCTTTGTCAAAAACCAATCCGCGATGCACTTAGGATTTAACACAGTCAAGACCAAGGCAAAGAGTCCCCTTTTTCTTTCTCATTTTCTCATGAACATCACAAGGTTTACAAACTGAGCATATAAAACATTTAATAGGTACAAAATAATCATGTAAACACATAAATATAGCACAAATCAGAGGCAGCAACAATGTACAATATAGCACAACATCACAATTAATAAAGCCTTCTTTTCTTCATTCTTTTTCTCAAAATCAACTTCATATACAAAGGCCCTTAAAAACTGAGATTAAGACCTTTGATAATATACATTTTCAGCTTGCCTATCACTTCATCAGAGTCCGGCAAAAATCCGGCAAAAACAGTTAAAAGAGGCCAAAGCAATCAATACAAATTAGCCTCAAATTCACTTCCTTTTTCTTGTCTTTTCTCCAAACTCAAAGGCAAAATAAAAGTCCCACAACAACTGAAACTAAGGCACAAAAATGAACATATAGCAGCAATTAAATCACCCCAAAAGACTCTGCAACATAAAGGTAACACAAGGTACAAAACAACATACAAGTATGCCTCATTTTTCCTTTCTTTTTCCTTCTCTTTTAAACAACACATAAGGCCACTTAAGAACAGCAATACAAGCTCTAAAATACACCTATAAACATCACGTAAAAACACATAAGATTCAGCAAAATTAGGAAATCAAACAAAGCATACAGAACATATGATATAGCCTTCTTTTTCTTCCTTCTTTTCTCATTCTCATAGCATACATAAAGAGCCATATGAACCGAGGTTAAACCTCTTAAACGTAGTCACTTTTCACCCATATAAACATGCTAAAAAGGCCACAACAAAGTCATAACAAAAACATCTAACATAAGGCCAAATTAAGCACCTCATTTATCTCGTTTTCTCAAACACATACATACATGCTAAGGGCCTTATAAACTGAGATTAAAGCTCTAAAAACACTTCTCTTTCATCATGATAATAAATTAATAATCTCATAACTCATAAGGCACAGCAAGAGTGGCACAAAACAATGCTAAAAAATCACATGAACATATCTCATGTCTTTCTTTCTTTTTCTCAATTATTTAAAACACATATCATGGCCTTAAAACTGAATTTAATACTCTGATAAGTCATGCATAACTCATCAAATTTTCGCATAACAAGTCCAGAAAGAAGGCAATAATCAAGGCTAACAAAATTCACATAAACTACTCATAAAATCTCTTCAAATTTTCAGTCACTCCTAAGCATGCCATTTTCGATTTTTTAAACTAAGTTTAAGCTCATACTTTGCCCATAAAGGGGTCTAAGGCTCAGCAAAAGATACCTTCTCTCGGTGCTTAAAAAAAAAATGGAGAAAAAGGCTCTGTTCTTAGGCTTGGCTTCGGTCTCAGTTGTGAGGTGTTCTCGGGGAAGTTGGTTGGTGGACTTTGTCTTCCCCTTGAATTACTTACGGCTCTGATTTAAGAGGCCAAGGGGAAAGCTGCTTGAGGTATTTGATAGTAGCTGCTGGATGTCCGAAATTTAGGGGCTGGAGTTGAGAAGATAAAAGACTTGGTCATGGCTTGGCTTTTGAATTTCAAAGACTTAAAAGGACTAAGGGTGGCCGAGACATGTAATATCCTTAGGCAAAAAATAATAACTTTAGGACTTTGAACACTTGGGCATAAAAATAAAATTGGCCAATGAAATAAATACTTAGGCTTCGAAAATTGATTTGGGCCGAACTTAGCTTAAATCTTTCAAAATTCTTAGGCATGCTTTAACTTATTAAACTTAGGAAAATACAATAAACGAGCAAACAAACAAATAAACGAATAAGCAATTAGACATTTAAGACAATTAAAACAATTAAGCAAATAACAAAATTAAGTAGACGAGGATATCTATTTAATTCAAATTTTTGGATTAAACGATTTCATTAAACAAGGTCGAACTAAATAATGCAATGCAAATGTTCTATTGCTCTTATTCGGAAAATGGGGCGTTACAATAGTGATGGTCAAATTCCAACCCGAATTAATTTAACCCACTGTTTCTAAATCATCAGTCAGGACTGGCTCTGTAGATTAATAGGCTTGACGAAACATATTCGGATATTTGGTCCAAACATACAATTTCATATGAGTTACTTTTTATAAAAGACTAAAAATATAAGATGGCTATCTGCAAGTTGTATATATTCTCATCAAAATATTGGAGGTATGACATATAACACATTTTGTAAGTCCACCCTGCTAAAAGAAGGATTTTGGCAGCCCGCAACATGGTCGGCCAAGTGATCCATTTGAGTTGGGTTGGATACGGTTCGGTAACCGAAACAGTTATGCAATTGGTAATATTGAAATGTAAAACCGAAACCGAAAACCCCTACAGAACCCAAAAAAACCTATTGCACATATATCATAGTATAATACACGACACAATCATACAACTGCATACCTGCAAGTCTTGCACCTGCTCCATACTCAATTAGTACGGGAACTCATTTTGATCACCATATTAACCCATTTTGATTACCACACAAGGACAAACACAATTTACAAAAATAAAATAAATAAAAAAATTGAAGTTTGAAAGTGGAAGCATCCCATTAAAAACTCAATCAATTACAAAAAAACAGAAGTAGAAAAAAGATTGAGGAAAAACTAGATTCAGTGTATATAATGAATGATGTATATAATGCACGGAATTAATTGTAAATCGCCAACAAAACTTCCCATAGTGGCAATATTGCATTTACTGCATAATTACAGGTAATTACACTAACAACACCAAGACTAGATGAGCTAAGGACGAATAACAAGCCTAAAGCTGCCCTTCACATTTAACTTGAAGAATTTTCAAACTAGGGCTAAATGCTAATCGAGTTTAACAAACTCATAATATGAATTTTCAAACTTAAGCAAGGGAAAACAATGATTAAAGAAGACTCCTTCACTGGTGCATGGTCTCTCAATTGATCGATGAGCATCTTATCATTTCTTCACGGAAATCATCAACAAAAAGGAAATGTAGTTCTGCAAATGCAAATATTAATAAAATAAAATGAACATGGTCTAGAATCGAGCATACAGTTCAAGTCATGAGTACCTTTAGATTATTAAGTCAGACGGGCATTGTCTGCAGCCTAATGTGTTTGTACTTCTAATTCCTGTTAAAATATCTAGAAGCTTCTGTCAAGCCTTTTGACAAAAGCTGTTCAAGAGCATCAACACCTTCTACCAATGCAGCATCAATCTGCCATGCCAAACAAAGTGCATCAATATATTATTCAGTATGCCTTTTATTAGCTATGCAGCCAAAAATTCGCTTTTGTTTTCTTCCACCCTTTTTTTTTTTCAAAACAATGTTTCATTAGTTAAGAGAATCAAAAGGCACAAAAAGAAAACAAAAAGTGAGAAGAAAAAAAAGACAAAATTGCATTTTTAGTCCTGTTGGTTTAACGCTGTAGCATTTTTAGTCCCAAAATTTCAACTTTTTGTCTTTTGATTTTGTAATTTAGTATTTTGTTGCAATTTCAGTCCCAAAGGACTGAAATTGCATTGAATTTTAAATCATAGGATAAAATAGCAAAAATGTTCAATTCTTAGGATTAATAATGCCACTGGATCAAACCACCAGGACTAAAATTGCAATTTTGCCTAGTGTTTGTTATGAATTTATATTTAAAACCAAAAAATAAAAATAAATTAGATTTGTAAATACGTTTTTATATGACTATATTATTATTTATATTTAAAATAACATACATCACTTATAGGTAATCTAATTTGTATTATAAAGATAAATATAACTATTTATTTATTTTGTATGTAAAGTATAGGTGTCAAATCGAAAGTATTCAATACATGATTAATTTTATATATTATGTATACAAAATTTTAATAAATAAAAAATATAAACTAGTACAATACCTGTGGACTACACTGGTATTTGTTAAGAAAATTATATTTAAAATTAAATAATAACAACAAAAATTATTTTAGTTTTCAAATATTTTTTGAAGAAGTATATTATTATTTAATATTTATCTCTAAATTGATATCGTCACTTACACGACTTACCATCTCATATTATATAATTTTTTAATTTATATCAGACAACTACTTTGTAGTTCAATTAGTTTAATAATTATATTTTTTCGAATTAATATTAATAGGTAATTAAAAAATCATTTAAAACTACTTTATTCAATATAGATATATACTCTATTTTATGAATTAAATTTATATTATTAAGGAATGATATAAAATGTATTTTGAATGATATAAAATATGAAAAGGTAATACATGTATGAATTAATTAAAAACTCATTTAAAACTACAGAATACCAAATTATGAAATTATCTTAGGATATACTCCCATAATAATATGATAGAGTTAATACAAAAATTTATGGGAGGCAATAAATTTATGGTAATGAAAGAAATATTAATAGGATGCAATAATATAAGATGAAATAATTATTTATGGTTGATTCCAAGCCTATCATGTTTCCAAAAATTTTTATCCAAAGCATAATATTTGACACGTATGATTCTAAAGAGTGCGAGTTTGCACGTTTTGAATTAATATATAAGGGAAAGGGGATTTTATAAATATACAAATAAAAATGAATTTGTAGGTCTATGTGTAATCTATATATATATAATAAGAATTAACATTTATCAAAAATGGCAAGTCAACTATATGGTCAAATTTGTTCACCATTAATTACTTTCTATTAATAGTAACTTTTTTATTTTATTTTTTAAAAAAACAATTGGCATTAAATGTTGCCACAAATTGTGGGTTTTATATCATTGTAGGAGTCAAAATCTCGGGTGGAATTTTAGAGATAAGGTTTTCATCTTGAATTCAAATTGTTTGTTCCGTGGTCAATATATAGCCCACTAAAATAGCCTAAATCTTTGAGTTATTTTTTTATTTTTTAACCTGATTTGATTATGATTTACATGTATGGACTAATTGGGTGAGTTTATACTTATCAAACAACGCAATTTTTTTTTTAGGGGGCTTTGAGGATATTTTAGATTATCTTCTTCTAATGTTTCATAAATTCAAAAATCTAAAATGATTAATTTACCAAAATCAAGTACTTTAAAAAAATAACTATTTTTTTCAATAAATAAGTTACATAATCTAAATTTAAAAATATGTTTTATATTAAAATAAATATTAATTGTTTTTAAAAAATGAATAGAACAAGACATTCAAATTTTAAAAAACCGAGTATCTATAGAAACAAAAAAAAAAATAGGGTAATTAATGGATATTATCAAATTATATTTACAAATCACCTACATGTCATAAATTGATCCAAACGAAAATCAATATTAATATAGATACAATATATATATATATATATATATATATAAAAGGTAAAAACTATGATACATTAACATTTCAATGTTTATGAACTCTTTTTGTAGTGAATATATGATTTTCCTAAGTAATATAATATACATCATTTTCTTGTGTTATTATAACCTATATTACTATAGTAAAAATAAATATTGAATTGATAAAAAACAATCTTGCGCACAATAGAATTTTTTCCAACGACTGCTCATTTCTTACTTCTTTTCTTTATTTCGTAGTTTGATTTCATTAGTCACAAATACATTATTTATTTTATTGAAAAATATATTATTTTTTTGGAACAATGCAAATTATCGGCACCGAAATCTCGATTGATATATAAGAGCGAACTCCTTGCTTGAGGAATTTTATGATTTGGCAATGGATTTATCCTAAAGATTTAATTAAGAAAATTACATTTTTCTAATTGTTGTGCAACTGTGTATTCTCTGTATTTTTTACATTTATGTTGTATATGTTAAAATATCTAAATGAACATGTATCATCACATCCTATGAGCTTATGTTCAATGGTGACTAACATGTTATATCTGATGATATAAATAAAAAATAAACCAACTTTGAACAAAAATTAAGATAGATAGCCTATTCATAAACAATTAATAACAAACCAATTTTATGGCGAACTTGAAACATTACAATTTTTATTTAAAAAAATATAGAAATTATTAAAGAAAAGTTTACATCTATTTACAGTCTTATTTTGATTTATTTGATGGTCAACCTAATAATTGTTGTATGTAATTTTTTTGTTTTATTTGGAGAAAATTGTGAAATATGGAATATGAAATAATAGGGGAGAGGAGAGAGAAATTAGAGGGAATCATTAAATTATATTTGTATCTATAAATTATTCAACTCACTATTAAGGAAGTTAGATGATTCAAACTAAAAACATGCTTTAATATTAGTATAGCTGAGAATATAAAATAACTATCTACATAAAATAGAAATAAAAAAGTTTAAACTTGGAATAAAATATAATTTATAATATAGTTAGAAATAAGAATAATTGTCCAAGTGTGTGAGGCAATTTTTCGGCGACAGCAATCAGCATCCACAGCTTAGGAGAGAAGCCCAACAAGGGAGTCCAGTTGTGTGAGGCCCAATTTCCATAGCCCTTTGTGCATCCCGCGTCCAGCCCGTGCTCTTCACAACGAGTTACCCAATAATCAAACTCATAATGTTGTGTACACAAAAGTTTTTAATAATATAAGATTTTTTCGTGACAAACATTTTATGATTGAATAATGTTCGTATGTAAAACTCTCATATATCCTAATGCATGTCAAATTATAATATTTTCCAAATTTATATACCCCGTGCTTCGCACGTGATATGCACTAGTTGTCTTTATAAAGTTTGCTATTTTTAGGTTTGAAGGCCTGGTCATGGATTTCGATTATTTGTGGGCTTGCTTATCTGGCTGAAAATGAGAACTGTACAAAAGCCCAAGTCAGCTTTCATTCCCATTCTGAGATGTATTTCTCCCAGTACAGTGAAAAGTAAAAACACACTTTCCAGTTTTCGACTCTTGGTCATGTATGAATATCTCCACTTCAAAAGCAAAGTCCTAATGTAAATTGATAGCAGGGTATCAGCTTTTCTCAACCTCCTCTAGTTCTGGTTGCTATTTTCGGTTAGGTAAGGATTTCTCACGTGAGTTTATGCGCTTCTTCCTTCCAATTCCTGAATCCTGATAATAATCTTGTCTCTCTCTTTTTTCCTTCCTAATTTGTGAGGTTTCCATAAATTAGACGTAGTTTTCAGATCTGCTTTTTGGACAAAATAATACGTATCCGTAGAAATGGGATCGAAGAGCCACGATTTGCACAAAGTGATAGTTATAGCCTGGATAACAATGGGTTAGGGTCTCAGAGATATTGGGATATTAGAAATCAATTATTACTATTTCCCTGTTCCTGTTGAAATTTGCCTATTTTTCTTGTAAGGTCAGCCAGCAAATGCATAAACAATCACATGTAAAGTAAAAATCATGATTTCT